TAGTGGTAGTGGTAGTGATAGTTGTGCTGGAGCCGATGATGTGCTGGTGTTATGTTGATGGTAGTGGTAGAGCTGCTGTTGCTGGAGCTTGTGCTGGTGGTCGTGTCGGTGGTAGTGGTAGTGCTGGTGCTGTGCTGGTGGTAGTTGTAGTGCAGATGGTGTTGGTTATAATGGTAGTTCTTGTGCTGTGCTGGTGGTAGAAGTAGTGGTAGTTCTAGTTCTGGTGATGTGCTGGTGGCAATGGTAGTGGTAGTGCTAGTGCTAATGCTGGTGGTAGTGCTAGTGCCGGTGCTGTGCTGGTGGTAGTAGTGGTAGCTCTAGTACTGGTGCTGTGCTGGTGGTACTAGTAGTGGTAGTTCTAGTGCTGGTGCTCTGCTTGTGGTATTAGTAGTGGCAGTGCTAGTGCTGCTGATGGTGGTAGTGCTGGTTCTGGTGTTCTGCAGTTGGTAGTTGTAGTGGTAGTACTGGTTCTGTGCTGGTGGTAGTGGTAGTTGTAGTGCTAGTACTTGTGGTAGTGGTAGTGGTAGTGCTGGTGGTAGTAGTGATAATGGTAGTGCTAGTGCTGGAAGTAGTGGTTGTGGCAGTGCTAGAGCTGCTGGTAATGTGCTGGTGGTAGTGGTAGTCCTGGTGTTGCTGGAGCTTGTGTTATTGCTTTGCTGGTGGTAGTGGTAGTGCTGGTCGTGCTGGTGGTAGTGGTAGTGGTAGTGCTAGAGCTGCTGGAGTTGGTACTGTGCTGGTGGTAGTAGTAGTGGTAGCGTTAGTTCTAGTGCTGGTGGTATTGGTAGTGGCAGGTGTAATGCTGGTGGTAGTGCTAGTGCTGTGCCGGTGCTGTGCTGGTGTTAGTGGTATTGGTATTAGTAGTGCCGGTGTTGTGCTGGTGGTAATGGTAGTGATGGTGCTGTGCTGGTGGTAGTGGTTGTGCTAGTGGTAGTGGTAGTTTTAGTGCTGATGATGTGTTGGTTTCAGTGGTAGTGGTAATCGTAGTACAAGTGCTAATGCTGGTGGTAGTGCTAGTGCCGGTGCTGTGCTGGTGTTAGTGGTATTGGTATTAGTAGTGGTAGTGGTAGCGGTAGTGCTAGTGCTAGTCCTGGTGCTGGTGTTGTGCTGGTGGTAGTTCTAGTGATGGTGCTGTGCTGGTGGTAGTGGTTGTGCTAGTGGTAGCGACAGAGTAAGTGTTGGTGCTGTGTGGTGGTGGTAGTGATGGTGCTGTGCTGGTGGTAGTAGTGGCGGAAGTTTTTGTGGTGGTGCTATACTGGTGGTAATAGTAGTGGTAGTTTTAGTGCTAGTGCTATTCTGGTGTGACTAGTAGTGGTAGTGCTAGTGCCGTTGCAGTGCTTGTTGTAGTAATAGTGGTATGTCTAGTGCTGGGGATGTGCTGTTGGCAGTGTTAGTGTTAGTGGTATTGGTATTGATAGTGATAGTTCCAGTGCTTGTGCTATGCTGGTGGTACTAGTAGTGCTATTGGTATTGGTAATGGTAGTGCTGGTGGTAGTAGTAGTGGTATTTCTAGTGCTGGTGATGCGCTGTTGGCAGTGGTAGTGGTTAGAGTAGTGGTAGTGCAAGTGTTAATGCTGGTGGTAGTGGTAGTGCAAGTGCCGGTGCATTGTTGGTGGTAGTGGTATTGGTAGTGCTAGTGGTAGTGCTGGTGCTGGTGTTGTGCTGGTGATAGTGACAGTGTAAGTGTTGGTGCTGTGTGGTAGTGGTGGTGGCTTTGCTGTGCTGGTGGTAGTAGTGATAGTTTTAGTGCTGGTGCTATGCTGGTGATACTAGTCGTGGTAGTTCTAGTGCTGGTGCTGTGCTGCTGGTAGTGTTAGTGGTATTGGTATTGGTATTATCGGTAGTTCTAGTGCTGGTGCTATGCTGGTGGTACTAGTAGTGGTAGTTCTAGTGCTGGTGCTGTGCTGCTTGTAGTGTTATTGTTAGTGTTATTGGTATTGGTGGTGGTAGTGGTAGTGGTAGTGCTGGTGCTGGTGTTGTGCTGGTGGTAGTTCTAGTGATGGTGCTGTGCTGGTGGTAGTGGTTGTGCTAGGGGTGGCGATAGAGTCAGTGTTGGTGCTGTCTGGTAGTGGTAGTGATGGTGCTGTGCTGGTGGTAGTAGTGGCGGAAGTTTTTGTGGTGGTGCTATACTGGTGGTACTAGTAGTGGTAGTTTTAGTGCTAGTGCTATTCTGGTGTGACTAGTAGTGGTAGTGCTAGTGCCGTTGCAGTGCTTGTTGTAGTAATAGTAGTATTTCTAGTGCTGGGGATGTGCTGTTGGCAGTGTTAGTGTTAGTGGTATTGGTATTGGTATTGATAGTGGTAGTTCCAGTGCTTGTGCTATGCTGGTGGTACTAGTAGTGCTAGTGCTAGTGTCGGTGCAGTGCTGGTGGTAGTGGTAGTGCTATTGGTATTGGTAATGGTAGTGCTGGTGCTGTGCTGGTGGTAGTATTAGTGGTATTTCTAGTGCTGGTGATGTGCTGTTGGCAGTGGTAGTGGTTAGAGTAGTGGTAGTGCAAGTGTTAATGCTGGTGGTAGTGGTAGTGCAAGTGCCGGTGCATTGTTGGTGGTAGTGGTATTGGTAGTGCTAGTGGTAGTGCTGGTGCTGGTGTTGTGCTAGTGATAGTGGCAGTGTAAGTGTTGGTGCTGTGTGGTAGTGGTGGTGGTTTTGCTGGCCGGTGGTAGTAGTAGTGATAGTTTTAGTGCTGGTGCTATGCTGGTGATACTAGTCGTGGTAGTTCTAGTGCTGGTGCTGTGCTGCTGGTAGTGTTAGTGTTAGTTGTAAAGGTATTGGTATTATTGGTAGTTTTAGTGCTGGTGCTATGCTGGTGGTACTAGTAGTGGTAGTTCTAGTGCTGGTGCTGTGCTGGTGGTAGTGTTATTGTTAGTGTTATTGGTATTGGTGGTGGTATTTGTAGTGGTAGTGGTAGTGCTGGTGCTGTGCTGGTGGCAGTGGTGGTGCTAGTGGCAGTGGTAATGTAATTGCTGTGCTGTGGTAGTGGTAGTGGTAGTGCTGGTGGTAGTGGTAGTGGTAGTGCTGGTGTTAGTGGTAGTGCTGGTGCTGTGCTGGTGGTAGTGGTAATGCTGGTGGTAGTGGTAGTACTGGTGGTAGTACTGGTGATAGAGGATGTGGTAGTGGTAGTGCTGGTGATGCTGTTGCTGTGCTGGTAGTAGTGGTAGTGGTATTACTGGTAGTACTGGTGGGTGCTGGTGGTGGTGCTGGTGCTGGTGCTGGTGGTGCTGGTGCTGGTGCTGGTGCTGGTGCTGGTGCTGCTGTGCTGGTGCTGGTGCTGGTGGTGCTGGAGGTAGCTGGTGCTGGTGCTGCTGGTGCTGGTGCTGGTGCTGGTGCTGGTGCTGGTGGTGCTGGAGCTGGTGCTGGTGCTGGTGCTGGTGTTAGTGCTGGTGGTGCTGGTGGTTTTGGTGCTGCTGCTGCTGGTGCTGGTGGTGGGTAGGTGCTGTGCTGGTTGTGGTGCTGGTGTGGTAGTGCTGCTGGTGCTGGTGGTGCAGTGCTGGTTCTGTGCTGGTAGTAGTGCTAGTGGTGGCACTGGTGGTGCTGGTGCTGGTGCTGTGTGCTAGTGCTGGTGTTGGTGCTGGTGTTGGTGTGGTGTTGGTGTTGGTGTTGCTGTGCTGGTGGTGCTGGAGCTGGTGGTGCCGGCAATGTTAGTGGTAGTGTTGGTGGTGGTGCTGGTGATGATGATGTTACTGGTGTTGGTGCTGGTGCTGGAACTGGTGCTGATGATGTTGCTGGTGTTGGTTCTGGTGCTGGAACTGGTGCTGGCGCTGATGCCATTTCTGGTGCTGATGCTGTGCTGGATGGTGTGGTGCTGTTGCTGTTGCTGTGCTGGTGCTGGTGCTGGTGCTGACATGGATGGTGGTACCGGTGCTGGTGCTGATACTGTTACTGGTGCTGATGTTGATGCTGATGTTGGTGTTGGTGTTGGTGTTGGTGCTGGTGATGTTTGTTTGGCGGATGATGTTGCTTTTTGTGGGGACCGTGTTCTTCCGATGTGGTTGTCTCTCTTATAATTATATTTTCCTCAAGCTGTTCCTTTGGGGATGTCTGACATCCATTCCAAATACTGATTTACACTTACTGTTGCCGATGTTAGAAAACGATAAAAGGCACATTTGAAGCTGAAATCTTATGTTATTACATACAATGAAATAATACAATGTTCATCATACAAAATGTGCATATGAATTCTTAGATCTTTGTTAATGCACTGGTGCTGGTGCTGGATGCTGCGTGCTGGTGCTGGTGCTGGTGCTGGTGCTGGTGCTGGTGCTGGTGCTGGTGCTGGTGCTGGTGCTGGTGCTGGTGCGTCATTGGTCATGGTGTGCAATCGTACCCCATGGATCTCCAACGTAGCCCATAATATCAATCACTAGTCAGTCTAGATCTAGTCTAGTCCCCACAATTACTGGCAGGACTCAGTAACTCGATTATTTAAGCTAAACATACAAACTGTGCAACAACTGTGAAAACTGTACAAATCCCAGTGTGGTTGAGGCAACATCCTCAAATATGATATCTAGTCTATTTTTTCCCCTGTGAACACTTTAAGCTGTAAATGGAAAGAAACTATTCAATAAATAATGAACCAATACACAAGATATGTACACAATTTTCAGGCAGCTCTGGGCTCGAGTTGTGCTGGAAGATTACAAAGTAACGAGTCACAGATGTTAGAAAACGATAAAAGGAACACTGGAACCTGAAGTCTAATGTCATTAAATACAATGAAATAATACAATTTTCATCATACAAAATGTGCATATGAATTCTTATATCTTTGTTAATGCATATGAGAGTGGTAAGTAATCGCAAGCTGCCAGACTGGTACACTCCACTAGTACTTTACACGCCACAACAGGTCAACAAATTTATTAATTCTACGGTAAATTTAGAACACTTAGTATAACAAACGGGCACAACACACCACATACACGATACAAAGAACACATTCATAGACGAACTGGAATTCGTTGTGTTTTTGAATTGAGTCAACGCATTCTTCGTTTCAGGTTCCAGTGCAGGTATTGGGGCAGGCATTGCAGTGGTCTTTGCAAAAGAAGGAGCCAAACTGTCATTGACTGGTAGGAATCAGAATAATTTGGAGCAAGTGGTCCAAAACTGCAAGAAGGCAGGATGTCAAGTGAGTAGAATCCGTAGATAATATCACCATTCAGCACATTTAAGCATGCCTAGTTGACCAAGGTGCGGCGATTCACTATGCGTTGAAGTCATGTCCGTTACGCGATCCGGGTCCGCAAATAGATACAGGTGTATTTGAAGTTTCCAATCATGTCACAAACCTAGTGCCAAATAGCAATTGTTAACTATCTTTCCGTACCGCCAAATAATTCATACTAATTTATCGAGGTGATCAGCTTTCTATTTCAGGACGTTCTCATAAACGTGGGTGACATCACGAAGGATGCTTTCAGAAGGACTCTCGTGGATACAACCAAGAAGACGTTCGGGAAAATAGACATACTGGTGAATATATTTCAGCTACGGCAGAAGGGACGGAAGGACATGTGCATACATACCTTCTGTACTCTCCCGACACGATGGAAAACCAAAATTAAGTACATTTCTGTTTATGAATGAATTGTTTGACACTCCACAGAGCCACCCTGTATAGTCGAGCCGGGACCACACACGTTCAACCAGACATTTTGTTTAAATTTTGATGTTATTTGTTTCTTGTTCATGTATCAAAGAGTAATGGCCCAAACATATGACAGTTGCAGGACCACAATATCCTGTGGTTGATAGCTTAAGCAACGATCCATGCCGTAGGGAAAAGGCAACTAAAAGAATCTATACGACCATCACATAAAGATTCAGGGTCAGAATACCGGATCCCCATCAACTTCCGCATGTTTTGGGTTGGAGTACTAGCAGTACTATCCCCCGTGATTTAACTGTATGGTAATATCACAACGTGCTACACCAGATTTGGTCACACATTGTACACGTGTGGAAACCAACCCGTCTTCCAAGCAACAGGCGAACACAAGGCTAAACCCAAGTCATAAGATGTGTTTTAAGAGATCGGATGGCCATTGGATTTTATGGTGGATAACGTAGCATTATATACCTTGTGGGCGTGGATCGTCGCTCATATTATCAATCACTGGGTTGTCTTGTTATTGATAAAACAGGATTTGACGTAGTACAGGAGCACAAATAAACAAGTTGCATCAAATGTCTGTGTTAAGGTGAACAATGCTGGGATCTCAGGCTTGAGTTCTCTGATATCAACGACCAAAGAGGAGTATGACAGAATGATGGCTGTAAACGTGGAGGCACCTGTGTTTTTGACACAGTTAGTTGCACCGCATTTGATTGAAACTAAAGGTATTTCCTGAAATTCTTTTCGAAATCAATTTATTCTGAAGAAAATGAAACAAATTGCCTCAAGATTTACACACCAAGACACTGGGCAATTTGTTGTATATGCTGGGAAAAAATGCTAAGTTTCTCCTTTCAGTGAAAGCATTGTATGTCGTGAGGCTGTGATCAAAACATATTCCACATTCAGTCCTTATTAAACGTCATATAGAACTTATTCTGATAACTGTATGACTTTTCGATTGCCGAAAAGATAAAACATTGAAGCACATGATATTTGCAAGCATTCTTCCTGAAGATGTCATGAGTGTAATAGTCACTAGTTCTAAGGTTGATCAAATCTTTTTGTTTCAGGAAACGTGGTCAATACTTCGAGTTGCAACACGACTATGATTGTAAGTGTAATACAAGAATAATTCATAACCTGTAAAACTAAACACCTTTAAATACTCTGTGTTTTCAAGTTCAGAATCACTTTATATACATCATCCTTTACAGCACCTATATAGAATGAAGTGAACAGGGTGCCTCTGTTATTTCAATATGTCATGCATAGGTCTTTGAATATATCATTACCTTCCCTAACCTGCAGCTACCGAATGCAGGTGTCTACGTCATGTCGAAGGCGGCCCTAGACACATTTACAAGATACCTTGCTCATGGTTAGTGTGTGAAACCTTTTACAAAATTTAGTGTGGCCAACTAATTTAAACTGCTTCAGTTTTGCGTGAAGACTTTATCGTTTGAGAATCTAGTAATATGATATATCAAAGTGACAGTAAACCACATTATTCAATGTATATAAACCTTTGGGAAGCAAAAGGTGTTATCTGAAATTTCTTTAACAATATTTGCTGCTTAACGCCGCACTCTTCAATATGCCAGCTAAATGGCAGCGGTTTGTAAATAATCGAGCCTGGACCAGACAACCCAGTGATCAGCATCATGGGCATCGATTTACGCAATTGGCTTGAACAATGTTGAACGCAAGACTTGACCTTTAAAAACGTTGCTGTCCATGGTAATTTAACCCCAAAAGAATCTGTGTTAGCTTTCTCCCCAAACCGTCTATACCTGCTGCCCAAGGCAATTTGAAAAGATCATGAAATATGTCTACGCGTAGTTTAGCAGCAGCAACAACAACCAAAATTTCTTTCCACAGAACTTGCCTCACAGGGGGTACGTGTCAATGCAATCAAGTAAGTACACCAAGAAAAGCAAGAATTGTTGAGGAGATGGCGATTAAATGCAGATGGGAATGTTTTTCGAGTTTAGTTTACAATACGCTCAGTAATACTAAGCATATCTTATATCACATGTGTTTTCATGTGTTATGATTTCATCTGCTAGGATGGGTAGTGAACGTTTCTTACTGAACTCAGTTCAACAGTTCAAGCAAATGGGCTCTGCAGTGTCATTTAGTGTCTCTTATACGAAGATGATCTTTATTCGTAATTAAAACACGCACCGGCAAATGTACTAAACATTGTGAAAGGAAGTAATTACAAATGAGTATCATATCCACAATATTGGATTATAATGTACCAAAGAATCATGGATTTGGTTTCTTTTTCAAAGCAGTGAATTCGGTTGTCATGGAAGCACATGACGTCAACTGAATTGTGTGAATATGAGGTAATCACAAAATTGTGTCTTACGTTTGTGGTTTTCATTGAGTATGTCACACTTGGTGTCTTGCTATTATTTCATATACTGTCACCTGTGCTATTGGTTTATTCTGATACATTGTGACTGTATTCTGTTATAGTGTTACATACATGTGTTGTTTTCATTGTTTCAGTCCAGGCCATGTACCCACTGACATAATGGCAAAGGTGTTGACTAAAGACGAATCGGACCAGGTAAATACGTTTAACACATCACATCCTACGTGGAAACCTGTGATTGATAGCGTGAACAACCTGCCATGTCACTGTAATAAAATGACACTTAGTGAACAAAGAGAACGAACCCGACCCTCGAACCCGAATCCAATGCAATCACAGACTTTCCACGTGGAAGGGAATCGTGTTGTACAAACACCTAAAGAACTCTCTGATTATAGCATATGTGCTGCATTCCTTCATTCACTTATTCTTTTTCAGATGGCGAGAGATATGCTAAACGCGACGCCAATTGGTCGAGCTGCTACCCCAGAAGAAATGGGTCACATTGTGGCCTTCCTAGCCTCGGATAAAGCAGCCTTTGTAACTGGAGAGAGCTTCAGGGCCGATGGTGGGCTCTCAATGACCACACCAGCTCTTGCCTGAAATGAATGGATGAACTTGAATCCACCATTAACAGATTGTGTTGGGAACATTTGCACGTGTATCAAATACATTCGTCCAGTTGACAAATGCCAGTGCAATTTGATTAATGACTTTCCTTTGTCGATTATGTAATGGTCTGGAAAAGGCGATTTTAATATGTATTTGAAATCGCTGAAAATTCTGAAATAATTCTGAAATATTACCAATATGAAAATAATTTTAACGAACACTACGATACTGTCCCACTTGTGGTTAGTCAACTAAATATGTATCTACATTCTGAAAACTGTTCTCAAAGTTTGTTTGTCCGGTTAAGCAATGGAAGTTAATTGGTGAGGGAGAGCTCAAGTTGCCCTATCAGCCCATCCAGATATCGTTGAGCACGGGTTGCTACGGTTTGTAAAATTTAGTGAAATATATTTGATATATGGCAACAATGATTAGTTACCAACTCCATCAAGGCAGCCGTGTAAGGCATACACAGTTTCAGCCATCTGTCAATATGAGATGTACATGAGTTCGAAGATGCAGCTATATCATTTATAAGAGAAGGATATATATATATAAGTTTAAACGTTGCCCCTTGCTGCCTGTAATGGGTGACGTAACGGAGACTATGTTGGCTATGTAGCCAGTCACATAATGTCAAAGACGTTGACTAAAGGCCAATTTTCTGATCACCACCGTTCATATAAACCCACAAAGACAAAGAGAACAACCCTGACCAGCCGATCCTATTAAGTCGACAACTCCAAACAAACATCCTTTGTAATGCAAACCCGACGTAGGGTGGATTTGGTTGTTGTTTAACGCCATTTTCCAGCAATATAGTGACGGTCAGTAAACAAGCGATTCTGGTCCAGACAATCCAGTATTGACATCAAGAGTATCAGTCTACACATGCATCAACAAAGTGTGATGAGTGTGGATTGCGATTTTGAAAACAATTTATTCTGAAAGAAATTGCTTGAAGATGTACACACAAGACCGGTTGTTCATTTCAGAATTTGTTGTATATCCTTAAAAAAGGTGTTGTCACCAAACTTATTCAGCTTCTCGGTTCAGTGAAAACAAGTCGTGAGGCTGTGATAAAAAAGTATTCCATATTCAATACTTAAAGGTCACATGCAACGCAAAACACAACTTTGCAGATTCTGATACCTTTCGGTATGGACTTACAGTAACAAATTATAAAAAATGCAAATTCGACTTATAAAGTTGAAAAATAACGCGATGAAAAAACACCCCGCGAAATCGGAGTTCAAACGATTCACTACTTTCACCCAAGCGCTGGGGTGAAAAGTGGTTTCAACAGCTCTGCTGCACTGCGCCCATAGCGCATGCGCAGTGATTAGGTTCGCGCGGCTTGAACCGGGAAGGCGACTCGTAAAACACAGCAAGTGATGCGTGCAAGGATTATCGCTGTGGTCGAAGTTGGAGAACAAAAGATGTTTCTTGTGATTACAAGCATCTTTGGTCTGCACTAATAAACATACACTGGTCCCATACTTTTTCTTATATGTTTTCACATATTGCTTTTTGGGGGTTGGCAGATTTGCAAACAAGTTTTCAAGAAAGTGTAGCATTAGAAATACTAATTTCTTTCTTAAGAATTGCTAAGCTTGAAAACTGATATGTTTTAATACATGTCTATGGAAACATAGAAAAATATGTTGATTGTGATAAGCAGTCTCTGTTACAGACAAAACTCAGTGTCTGTTTTATTGACACCTATGTGTCTGCCTGCCTGTCTGCTAATGACAATATGCAATACACAACTTCAATCATTGACCACATGCAGTTGGAAATTGAAACGTATCAGGCTATACACCATAAACAAAATACATTGATTCATGGCTCGTGCACCTGAGCTCTGTCTCTGTCACATTATGTAATTACACAGACAGGCAGGTGTGATACGTGTACACATGACATGCTATTATGTCTGTGGGTTGCAAACAAACTGCATCCATTTTTCTCGGATGACTGGATCGGACGGAAACCAGTGCTAACTCAGATTGTCAGTTTCAAGTACTGCTTTGTACTTGGACGAACGACAGTTTCCAGCCACGCAGTAGTTCACCATCTCAGTATTTGTTGATTGGATCGAACGCAAATGCAGAAAAAATGAGCATGTATTTACAAAACCCAACATCTCTCTATATATACACACACAATGAGCCATCAGCGTATCGGCAAATGAACCAGCCAATGAAGGCTTCGTTACACTTGAGTGCACACCCACCCACTCTGACTGGGTTCGGTCTCCCGGGTGCTTCGTTTCGAGGGAAGTAAACCAAAGTACAAAATAATGCATTTTTGATTTGCAATTGTACGATTATAATTTTGTTTATTTTTTTTTCATAATCAGCAATGTATAGTATATGTCATGAATAAGTGATAATTTTGCTTTACTTATGTTTGTTTTTTTGGTTGCATGTGAATTTAAAAAAACGTCTTATAGAATTTATTCTGATAACTGTATGTCTTTTCGATTGTCGAAAGATCAGGAATTGAAACACATCACTAGTCACTCATTTCTATGCAGTCTACACATGCATCAACCGAATCAGCGAGCATGACCACCCGATCCCATTGGTCGCCTCTCATGAGTGAGTGCGTGAGTTTGATTTAAGTCACGTCGGCACTATTTCAGCCATATTGTGACTTGATAAAGTTATACGATAATTTTAAAAACTGTCATCGATTGACAGAAAAACAACTAGCAATATATCACATATTTGTTTTTGAAACTAGTTATAGAAAATTAAAACTGATAATTTGACACTTATTCATAAAATCGTGCTAGAGGACGCCAGCAACACAGTTAAGGACACCATACTTGGGGCCATGGGGACTTACGGTACCCCTGCTACCTACATGCTTCCCCAGACGGAATTATACGTTTCACTAGCAACTGGCTGTTGTCGTAGGTTCAGCCAGAAATTAAAACTGAACAATTATTCATCACTTTTAAAACTCAGGTAGATATAATAACACTTTGAAAGACATGGTCTTATATACCCTCTTTGAGGGACAATAATTCTACAATGCTTCAATCCCCATCAAGGGCACAGCCACTGACAATCTCAGTTCATAATCATATCCTACCAATAAATTAAAGAAGACAGTTACATCAAAATTCATCAATTCAATTTCACTTATAACCAATGATAACCAACATTGCTAAAAATATCCTTTACTGTTTTCACTTTGAAATAGTTATCCCTTGTAATGGAAAACTCAACACAGTCAAGCAAGACGTGCTTGACGCCTCTTATCACAAAGCATGGTTTGCTCTGTTTTAGGTGGAAAGTTGCGTGGTAAATGCGATACCAGTGGGCCGAGGGACTACGCCACAAGAAAGGGTTTACATTGTGGTCTTTTTAACCTCAGATAACGCAGCCTTGTAACCGGAGAATACGTTTCAAGGCCAGTGGTAGGGTAACAACGACAAAACCAGCTCTTACATAAAATGAAACTTGATATTGTCATGCTAAGATTTAAATAAGTTGATATCGATGTTCATTCTGTTGGGTTTTTTTAGCAGTGGAGCACATGATGGCAATGGAGAGCGCCAATGGCCCTATGACCATATCCGGGGATAACTGATCATCAACAGGTTTCAAACGTGACTATTGGCTGCTGCGGGTTGTACAAATAATTGAAAAAATACTTAGCTACTAAATCAACCAAGGCAGTGGAACATGGGAGCAATCATTTCAGCCACCTGTAAGAGATCGACATCAAGAGACTAGCTTCCTTCAATAAAATCACCGTTATCCCACATTATGTGAACTCCCATGTGTGCATGGTACTGTACACTATTGGTACAGTACAGCTATTGGTGCGAGTGTGTAGTCTCGGCTGTGGTGTCACGTGACCAAATGCAATGTCAGTCAAGGTTCCGGAGTCAAAGTGATTTCGTTCCATATCGTTGCAGACCCACCCCTAACAGTGTCACGTTGGTTTACGTTGACGTTCGCACGGCGTTTGTTAGGACGCCTCCAGACACGTTCACACCTATCCGTATGAATCTTGACTCATTTGAAACATGCACGTGAACAGCTGCGACTCCAACGGGTTTTTTTCTGTAAACAGCATTCGGGTTTGGTTAGTAGGTGTCGATTTTTAACGTTGGTACATCTTGAGTTTGCCGAAATGAGTGAGTGAGTGAATTTAGTTTTTTACGCCGCTTTTAGCAATATTCCAGCAATATCACGGCGGGGGACACCAAAAATGGGTTTCACACATTGTACCCATGTGGGGAATCGAACCTGGGTCTTCGGCGTGACGGGCGAACGCTTTTACCACTAGGCTACCCCACCGCCCCTTTGCCGAAACGATGTCAGCGATGTCATCTAAAGAGGCCTAAGCAGATGACAAGCATCTGATTACGTGTTTGGGTTAAACTAATCAAAGACTGATTCTGATAAATGGACCTTGGACTTATGCTTGACTTGCAATGGACCTTTTTCCAAAACTCTGCAAATCACAGACCGAGACACACTGATCATTTTTGCTACCTCTCATTAAGTTCCATTTGTTAGGAGCTTGCTTTGGTGTTAATCATGATAAATAGTCTTTGCTATGTACATGTCAATTACATCCTCAAAAACTAATACATGGTAAGTGAATTTTGAATAAGGATATTGCTGCTTTAGAGGGTGCGACATCTTAATTTCCTAAAACACGTCTTTTCCTCGTTTTTGATCTGAAATATGTACTTAACGTTCTTGTTAAATGCAATAGAACATATTTAGTGCGAGGTAACTACTTTAGGAAGAGATTGGTACAAATACGTCCAAAAATATATTTTTAATTGTAGCCGATCAGGTTTGTACACATTAGTTCTTAAGTGCATATTGGTAGATTTCCTAGCCAAGTCGATCCTTTGCGCGCGTGTGTGCGTGTGTGTGCCTGCCTGTGAGTGAGTCAGTGAGTCAGTGAGTCAGTAATCCACAATTCGCATCCTTCAGTTGGACTTATGGGAGTGAGTATGGTTTAACGATATTCCAGCAATATCACGGCGGGGGACACTAGAAATGGGCTTCACACATTCTACTCCATGTGGGTCTTCGGCGTGACGAGCAAACGCTCGTCAACTCCACCGCGCCGGGTAGTGTACTGTTTGTTAAATGGAAAGGGAGACGTCAACGAGTAAACCACAACCTGCTGATGCGCATCGCGTGAACAAGGAAGGTTTATGCACTGGTTTGTTTTTGGAGACTTCAGCTCGACATATCGCAACCTGTTGATGAGCTTGAATTGGTCACAAAG